GAGATCACAAAACAGATCCCCCAAATTTGGAGGACAGAGTCCTTTTTTTCCTACCTGGCTCCACCATGCTGTGTTCAGGCTGTTTCAGAAACACAGACACAGTTGCCTGCCATGTGGCTGGGGATGGGGGAAGGGCTGCTGTTACCTTGCTAAGAGTTGAAGTTGACTAAAATTAATTGCAATTGACATGCCCATGTCCTCCCCTGGAAGTAGTCAGTCTCTAACAGACTTCAGTATTCCAAAATAGTTAAGACAGATTCGGCTGGTGCCATTATTATTTAGGTGCAGAGACAACATATTCCTGGTGCTTCCTACTCTGCTATCTTCCCAGAATCCTCTGTGGGATGTTTTTAAACCATAAATTAAACCTCTTCTATTGGTATAGAGCTATTTAGGTTACCTGCTTCTGCTCATTTAAAAAAATATCTTATTTTTGAATGAGCTTTGGTAGCACATCTTTAGAGGAATTCTTCTATCCCAGTTTTAAATATTATCAAATTTATAAGCATAAAATTATTTATAATATACCCTTATATTTTTAATACCAAAATCTAGTTATGTCATATCTCTCATTTCTGATAATAGTAAAAATTTATGTCTTTCCTCTTTATTTTCCTGTTAGTATGCCTAGAGGTTTATAACTGTTATTGATTTTCTCAAAAAAACAACTGATTTTCTCTATAAAGTGTTTCTGTTTTCTATTTAATTGATGTCTGCTCTGATCTTCATTTTTTCCTTTCTTATGCTTATTTTTGTGTTTAATTTGTTCCTCTATTTCTAATCTCTTAAGATAGGGCTGAAGCTGCTGATTTGAAGTCTTTCTCTTCTTTTCTAATAGTGTTTAATTAGCATTACACAGTTCCCTTGAAATACTGCTTTAGTGACATCCTCAAATTTCTGGTATATTCTGCTTTAGTTTTCATTCAGTTCAAAATATTCCCTAATTTCCACTTTGATTTCCTTTGTGACATTTAGATTTTTTAGAAGTGTGTTATTCCACTTTGATATCTGGGATCTTCCAGAGATCTTTCTATTACTGATTTCTTAGGTAATTCCACTATGGAGAATACACTTTGTAGGATTTCAAGCCTTATACATTTATTGAGGCTTCTTTTACACTCCAGAATATGGTCTATCTTGGTGAATGTTCTCTATGCCCCTGTAAGGAAAGTGTATTCTGTTGATGTTTCGTAGGTGTTCTATAAATGCCAACTAGATTGAATTGGCTGATAATATTGCTCAAGTCTTCTATATCCTTAAGTATTTATTCTATCAATGTGAGAAGAGAATTCATATATCAAACTGTAATTGTGTATTTGTCTATTTCTCCTAAGCTTTTTAAAATATATTTTGATATTCTATTATTAAACTTTAAATAGTTTTAAGATTATTTCCTCTCAAAGAATTGACCTCTTTGACTCCGATGTATAGAACAGACTTGTGGACTCTGGGAGAAGGCGAGGGTGGGATGTTTCAAGAGAACAGCATCGAAACACGTATATTATCTAGGGTGAAACAGATCACCAGCCCAGGTTGGGTGCATGAGACAAGTGCTCAGGCCTGGTGCACTGGGAAGACCCAGAGGGATCGGGTGGAGAGGGAGGTGGGAGGGGGGACCGGGATGAGGAATACATGTAAATCCATGGCTAATTCATTTCAATGTATGACAAAAACCACTCCAATGATGTAAAGTAATTAGCCTCCAACTAATAAAAATAAATGAAAAAAAAAAAAAGAATTGACCTCTTTATAATTGCAAAATGACCTCCTTTATCCCTGTGAATATTCTTATCTCTGAAATCTCTCTCTCTCACACTACAGCTATTTCAGCTTTCTTTTAATTAGTGTTAGCGCCATTTATTTTCTTTGAACTTGTGTCTTTATATTTGGTATGTTTCTTGTAGGCATCAAATAATTGTAGCTGGGTCCTGCTCATTTTATCCAATCTGACAATGTCTGCCTTTTAGCAGACATTGTTAGACTATTTTCTAATGTAATTATTGCTATGATTGGGTTTAATCTATCATATTGTTATTTGCTTTCTGTTTGTCACATCTATTCCTTGGTCTTTCTTTCCCCCTTTTCTTCCTTCTTAGATTATGATGTATATTCTTAATCAAAATATATTCTGATTCTATTTCATCTCCTCTGAATCCTTATGAGTTAAAACTGTTTGCTCTTTTTTAGTGGTTGCATTATGGTTTTTAATATGTATATTTACCTTATTTCAGTCTACCTTTAAGTGATATCATACCGCTTCATGTATAGAATAGAAACTTTACAATAGTATTCTTCTATTACTCCCCGCCCATTTTTTTTGATGCTGTTGTCATAAATTTTACTTCTACATATGTTATAAACTCCATAATATACTGTTATTTTTGTTTAAATGGTCAATTATCTTTTAAAGACATTTAAATAATAAACAACTTAAATAATTGCCCATGTAGTTATCAATGCTCTGTATTCCTTTGTGGGGATTCATTTTTCCGTTTGGTATCATCTTCCTTCTGCCTAAAGGACCTTGGTATCTCTCATGGTGCAGGTTTGCTGGTGGTGACATCATCCAGATTCTATAGATTTGAAAATGTCTTAACTTTGTCTTTGTTTTTGAAAGATATTTTTGTCAGATATAGAATCTGAGATTGACATGTTTTTTTCTTTCAGTACTTTAAAGATCTATTCCACTGAACTCCCTTATGCTGAATTCAGAAGCAAGAAATTTACTATCTTCCTTATTTGTTCTTCTGTAGCTGCCTTTATGATTTTCTCCTTATTACCTGTTTTGAGAAATTTGATTATTATATAACTTGATGTTGTTTTATTCATGTTTCTTGTGCTTGGGGTTTGTTGAGCTACTTCATGAAATCTGCTTTCATCAAATTTGAAAACATTTCAGTGATTACTTCTTCAAATATTTTTCCTATTCTTCCTGTTTTTTTCCTTCTATTGAACTAGTTCAATTACAAGTATATTAGGATGACTTAAATTATCTTGTATTCTTTTTTTTCTTTTTAAAAATTCTTTTTTCTCTTTATGTTTCATTTTGAATTGTTCCAGTTTGGATAGATAGTTTTATCTTCAAGTTCACTAATCTTTTCTTCTGCAATATTTAATCTGTTGTTAATCCTAACCAGTTCAATTTTCATCTCACATGCTGTAGTTTTATTCTCTGGATATTTGAGTCCTTTATATATTTTCCATGTCTCTACTTAATTTTTGAACATAGGTAACTATAGTAACTTTTAAGATCCTTGTCTGCTAATTCTAACATCTGCATCAGTTCTGGTTCAATTTTCATTAATTGCTTTTCTCCTCATTATGGATGTGAGTATAGACTTCAATTATTTTTTTCCACAGAAAACCAAACTGCCCTCCAAGAATGTTCTATCATTTCCCATCATTACCAATACATGGGAGTGTTCGTTTCCCTCCCTCTCCTGCCAGCACTGAATTTGACAGCCTTTAATCTTTGTCAATCTCACACTGTTCACTCCTACAATAGATACTTATTTTTCTAATTAAAAACTTTTTTTGGCTGCACTATGCAGCATGTGGTTAGTTCCCAGACCAGCGATTGAACTCATGACTATTTTAGTTCACAGACCAGGGATTGAACCTGTGCCCTCTGCAGCAGAAGTGTGATGTCTTAACCACTGGGCTGCCAGGGAAGTTCCACAACAGATATTTACTGAGCACCAACTATAAGCCTAGTGACAGATGGTGGCAATTGTGTAGTGTTCAAGCAGTCATAGTAGCTGCCCACATGGTGCTTGTTATCTTGTGATGCTTACTTTTTTATTTGCATTTCATTGAATATTAGTAATCATAGTTGAGAAACTTTTCTCAAGTTTATTGTCCAGTTATATTTCTTCTTTGACCAGTTTCAAGTGAATTGTTTGGATTTTTATTCCTATGTAAGAGCTATTCATTTACTAAGAATAAATACGTGTTTCACTTTTTGAATAATAAAAATATTTTATAAAAAATATTTTTTAAAAATAAATTAACATTTGTATGCAATTTCTTTGAAGAAATGGTTTACATGTTACTCAAATATTTTTTTCTATATTGAAAGTAAACAGAAATTGACTGTGGTATTAAAAACATGGCCCTTAAAGACAAACATTTTTGAGCAATGCAAAAATACAAAACACGTATATGAATACGTAAGATATTGTGCTTTGTCACTTAGTCATGTCCAGTTCTTTGTGACCCCATGGGCTGTAGCCTGCCAGACTCCTCTGTCCATGGGATTTTTCAGGCAAGAATTCTGGAGCAGGTTGCCATTTCCTCCTCCAGATATAAGACAGACATAAACACATAATGAATAAAACTTTCATATGTATCTGACATCAACAAATAAATGACTTACAGTCTTTAGAAATAATCAAGCAGATCCCAAATGCCATTTTACTCTTTTAATAATGAAATGGAAAGTCAAAGAGATGAAACATTCCCAGATTAAACATTTCCAGCTGATTAGATATTTCTGGCAAAGCCATGCCATCTGTATTAGAAATGCCCTACATACAAGACTTAATTTGTAATTGTCTAAGGTCTATTCTTTCAAAGGAGAAAAATGTCAAAATCCCCATTATAGAATATTTGCTTACCCACTGAAGAGTAGCAGGAGTTCTCAAAGGCATGTGCTATGTATTCATCTGGCTGTTTGGGTAAATGCTTCCTGGGGCACCAGGAAGGATCCCCTGATTGAGACACAGGTTCTATAACAGGCCCAGTGTCTTTTTAGCATTCATGATCAACATGAAGTGGACAGGGGGGTAGTGGATCCTGAGAAGCATTTCAACTCTATGGCCAGGGATATGACTTCCATACATCATATGGCTAAGGAGTGTTAGCCCTCTGAATATGATGGAAGAAATGTATGTCACCACTTGTGCTATGAGCAGCTTTAATAATGGGGATGATGACAGCAGCCAGCAAAGCCCCAAAAAGCCCAGCTCACCAGTTCCCCCCATAGACCTGGGCCCCTTGACTGACCTGTTTGGTGAAGGTGGTCTCTGGCCACCTCAAACAAGCGCAAGTGCATGTTGGTGATGGGGTTGAAGGAGCCACAGGCCAGGAGCACCACAGGGATTTGGCTCTTCATCCTGTCAGACACATCCACACGCGCTGCTGCAGCCACCCTGCCTTCATTGGGACAAAAACACGTTAGAGAGTTGGCACCAAGACAAGGGTACAATTACTGAAATAACTGTGAAACTTGAATGGCATCTAAACATTACAGTTAATATGTATTTCTTGATTTTTATGATCATCTGTTGTGGTTATGTAGGAAAATCTTATCAGATATAAAAAAAAGTTTTTGTAGGTTAAAAAAGGGAAAGACAACTGTCCAAATCAGTGTCTCTGAAGCACATACAGGCCATTATTTCTTACTTGTAAGATGACTGAGGAGGCAAGAATAACAGCATTTACAGGAGGCTTACCATGGGCCAGGATCTGAGCCAAAGAATATCCCTTATCTCAACAAATCTTTTCAAGTCAATTCTGAGTGGTTACTTATACATTATACAGCTCAGGGAGCTTAGAAGCTGCAAGGTCAAGACTGGAACCCAGGCAGCCTGACCTAGAAACCATGTTTTCTTGTACCCTCTTACTCTATACTCTTCCTGTGCTTTGAGGGTCACTTTAGGGTCAACAGAGGAGTATGTAAGATGCTCCAAATGCCACCTCTGATAGTCCAAATAGAAGTCATAATGCCCCAGAGTATAGGAGTGGTACTTTTTAAAAATTTATTTTAAAATAACTTCAGAGTTACCAAAAAAAGCTGCAAAATTTGTACAAAGAATTCCTATGCACTCTTTACACAGAATCCCTAAATGTTAACATCTTACCACACTTGCTATATCATTTATTCATTCTCTCCATGTACACATGCATACATGTATATACCTATAAAGAATTATTTTTCTGAAATGTCTGAAAATAAGTTGTAGACATAATATCTCTTTACCTCTAAATACTTCAGTATGTATTTTCTAAGAGCAAAGACATTTTCTTAGCACAGAAATGATTAAAATCAGAAAATTAACGTTGCTACCATACTATTATCTAATCTACAGATCTTTCCTGATTTCACCCATTGTCCTTTATCTGGAGTCCAAGCATTCTGAGGTGGTTAGGCCCACCCATTTGTCCCCTTGCTCTGTAGCTGTCAGCACCAGGGAAAGTTGGTTAAAGTAAGGTTAAAGTAAAGAGGTTGAAGTTTAAAGTTAAAGTAAAGCAGAAAACAGCCTGGACTCCTGGAGAGGCTGGCAGACAGGGCTCTCTTACCTCTGAGGCACTGCCTCCTACAGTGTTGGTGAAGTGCCCCATTGGAGTTTAGGCCTTGGTTTGAATCCAAGTTCTGCCCCTTACTGGCTATGTGACCTAGTGCAAATCACAGTCCCTCTCAAGCCTCAGTTTCTTCATATGCAGAATGGGGATATTATTACGCTTATGGGGTTGTTGTAAGGATAAATGAACTATGGATGGAAAATGTCTGGGTGCACAAGAAGCATTTAATAAATAACCACTGTCACTGTGATGATGATGATGCAATGATAAGTAAGATGTTGCTGTTAACCACAGTAATGGAGGAGGGAAAGGGGAAAGGTGGTGGCAATATGTTTGTGATTGGCAGCTTTCAAAAAGGCTCCTTGTGATCCTCACTTCCTGGTATTCATCTGTAGACCCCTCTCATTGAGTGTGGACAGGACCTACTGACTTGCTTCTAGTGAGGATTCCAGTAGACTTCTCCTTAGAGGATTCCACTTCTCAGAGAAGGTTACAAAGTCTCTGGCTTCCCTCTTGTTCACCTCTTTCACTTTCCCTCTTGCTCACTGTAAAGAATTTGGCTGCTATGTTGTGAGCTGCCTCATGGAGAGACCCATGGGGCAAGAAATTGAAACTCCTCTGGTAATGACAGCCTGCGAGGAACTGAGTCCTGCTAACAACCATGGGAGAGAACGTGGAGAGTGGATCTTTCCCCAGCTGAGTCTTCAGATGAGACCACAGCCCCATGGACACCTTGACTGCAACCTTGTAAGAGACTCTGAACAAGACACTCCAACTTAGTGGAGCTGCCTCTAGATTCCTGACTCACAGAAACTGTGAGATGATCAGTGTGTGACATTTTAAGCTGCTGTGTTTGGAGGTAATTCGTTATGCAGTAACAGGTAACTAATAGAGTGACCAACAAAAGGAATGCATTTACTTCTTCCCTACGCCTCTTGCTATGTTGACCTTGGCTGTAATTCTGCAGTTAAAAGGGTAACATGGAGAGTCGTTGGTTACTGGAACCTGGGTCCTCTCTGCACTGGAAGAAACTGTTTTAATCTGGCCCCTGCTGCCACTTGTACCAGCTGTATCTAACTACTACTTGCTTCACACTCTAGCTGTGATAAACTCCTTGTCAGTGGTTTCTCTGTGAGCGCCTCATGGCCTCCTGCTTAACTTCAAGTGCTTCTATTTTAAGTTGGCCAACAAGTTTGTCTGGGTTCTCCATAACATCTTAAACTTTTTGGCCAACCCAATATATGCTACTTTAATTTCCTCTAACTGGAATACTCACAGCACATCCCAATCTGCTAAGACTCAACTCAGGTGATCATATTACTTATGTGACTTCAATCATTATCTCCTGACTGCCTGCTAGGTGTTTGTATCAGTTAGGGAGGTATTTGGCTGCAAGTTCCAGAAGCTAATCTCAATGAATTAAACAAATAAAGGTTTATTTGTTTTTCACATGATGAAATATCTAGAAGTAGGCAGCAGCTGGCACTGGATCACTGGCTCAACAATGACCTACAATTTGCTCAGCTTTTCCCTCATGGTCACAAGATTGCTGCTGTAGCCATATCCATCATGATTATAATCAAGCCAAGAAGGAGGAGCAAGGAGCTATATAGACTGGCTAATCCTCTTAAGCAAGAACACAAAAGTTTTTAAAGAAATTTTCTGTAGATTTTGCTTCTGCCTCATGGCCACAGGTCGAGTGGCCACTCTAGGCAAGAGAAGCTGGTAGAGCAAGTCTTTAGCTTTGTAGCCTCCAGTTTGGAAGCAGCAAGGGAAAGGGAGTTGGGAATTGGATTAGCTAATTCACAATATCTGCCACAATGGCTTTTCTGACACCTAGGCTAACTGATCTCTGCTTACCTTTAGTAAGTCACATACCACATTTTTTGGAAAAACCTGCTCTTGTGTCTGTCTTCCCAACTAGAGAGTAAGCCCCTTAAGAGCAGGAGTGGTGTTTTCTTCATTTTTGATCTCAGCTTCCAGGACAGAGCCTGGCCCAGAGGAGGCCTGGGTGGAGACTGAAAGGGCACTGGCAAGTGGACCCATGTCCTGGTACTGGGAAGGCTTAAGCACCTTCTCAGGTACATAGAGAAGTTGTCCTGGGAGTATTCTGAGCTACAGTGGAGTGAAGATAAAAAAAGTTTCAACTGAGACGGGCTGTGGTTCCCACTTCCTTTGAGGCAGCAGGGACACCCCCTGCTACGTGAGAAGAAAGTAGCCTGCATGTGAGAGCTGCTACCCCTGGTTTTTCCCAGGGGAGGGCGGATCTTTAATGAGAGAGTATTTGCAGAGTGTGCTGAGCTACTCACAGGAGCAGCCTTGTGATGGGTGTAGCTGAAGAGGATGGCTGGTTTGGGTTTTTCGTCTTTTTTTTTTTTTTTTAACAATTATTAGGAGGCCTTTCAAAATTCTATTTTATTTTGACAAAATATCATGTTTTTAGAGCCCTTAAAACATGTAACTGCAGCATCTCAGGTAACCTGGGGTTTTGATGCATTTTCCCTAAGTCCCCAGAAACTGTAAATTAGAACATTAGTTTGAATGCTGGCATCAATGTGACGCAGTGCCATGATGGGAAGGAGAATAAATCACATGTAGCAACTGTCTGTCTGTCTTTTCTTTCCTTGTGTGGGCACATGGAGCCATGCTGCTCTGAGAGTGACTTACCCTGTTCCAACCGTGCCTCAGGCAGGAGGTGCAGTGAGCACACGTTCCCAGGCTCAGGAATGAAGTCAGGGCACCTGCATTGTTGCATCATTTGTACACTCCAGCTGGCTTCAACTAAACACCCTCCCAAGCCCAAACCCAGAGAAATACAATGACAGGACTGAGACAGAATCCCTGCTGGGGTCCACCAGAGAATAAACCCGGCTCAAATTTGAGCACATCTCAAGAGCTGGATGCACACCATAAGTGACTCATATATAAAGCAGAATTAAAAAGAGAAAAAAAAAGTGAGTCATCTGCTCTATCATGTCATAGTATCCAGTGAGATGAAGCAAGCATGGGGGACTTTTGCTACTGAGAAACGCTTCTCATCAAGAAGCATTTAATGGGAGGTCCAAAGAACAAGCAGTAATTGCAGCTGAAGGGTTTAACAAGTAGAGAAAGTGGCACACGGTCTTCTTGGAATTTATCATTAAGCTGGAGGCAAGGCAAACAGATTCCACCTTTGGATCCCGCCTCCTACTGTACAGTCATCCCAACAGCATCTCGTCATGCTGTGTGCTCAGTCGTGTCCGGCGCTTTGTCTGACCCCATGGACTGTAGCCTGCCAGGCTCCTCTGGCTGGAGTGGGTTGCCAGGCCCTCCTTCAAGGGATCTTCCTGAACCAGGGATTGAAGCCATGTCTCTTGTGTTTCTTGTATTAAGTGGATTCTTTACCACTGTACCATCTGGGAAGCCCAACAGCCTCTCATCCTCTCCTCAAATACAACACGATGTTCCTTTCTTTCTCACTTGTGGAAATGCTCTTCCAACCACCTGAAACGCCAACCTTGCTCCTGTCTTCAAGGCTTTCTCCTCAGTCTCTACCCAATGCCTCCCTCTCTCACTGTACTAACTGCACCTGTTACATATTACACATTTATCACTTCCTTCTTTTATCGGAGCACAGACCTGTCATTGCTTTGTTTCCATGTTGCTCTTCCTCAAGTGGAAGGTGAACTCCTACAGGGAAGTTTCTTATCCATCTAGGCCTTTAACTCCTGCAGAGTGCTGGCACACAGGTGCTCAGGAATGTGTGTGGCATGAATGAGAGAATGAGGGACTGTTTCTGACCAAGCAACCTCCTTTTCAGATAGTGACTTC